TTATATCATGTATCTAAAATTTACGGTTCACCTTAAAGCAACCCAGAAATGCAAAAGAACTACAGACCACAGTGCGATGAAATCAACAATTCACAGATACTGTACAGAGACTACACATTATTGCATAAGCACAGATTGAATTTCTCAAATCATGCAGACTATTCTGGAATCTATTTCAGAAAATAAAGTCTTTAATTTTGATAATGTAATCTGTTATGTTACAGATATGTCATGTCGATCAAGACTGGCCACACTGAATGAAAAATTAACATCTCTTGAAAGGCGGATAGAATTTATTGAAGCCAGGGTAAACACCATACATTAAAAGACATATATACTGTAAAATATTTTATTTTAGCTGGAATTAATTTTCGCTGAAAAGACTTTTTGGGTGTTTTGTATGGAATTTATTTTCACTGACTTTTGATGAGCTGAATGTAAAATATAGGAAAAAAAAGTATATATGCTGGATTTTATTTTCACTGAATCATCCCTTCAGCGAAAATAGCAAAAATTAATTCCAAGCGAAAATAAAATATTTTACAATAGATCACCTCATATTGTCTATTATTATTATTATTATTATTATTATTATTATTATGACCTTTGATGTACAAGAGTTGTCACCTATTGATAATTGATTATGTTGAAAAAGTAAATAAAAAGTATGCAAAGGAAGGGAAATTTATGGTCAACCGAAACATTACCTAGCTGTGAGTCAGCATCAATATATTTGTTATCCAGTGGCCACAATATTTACCCTTCTGCTTTGATTTTTTAATTACTGGGTGAAACTTACAAAACACATGCCTGCCTAATGAGAACACAGTAATTGTTGATGTTTTTATTTGCAGGTGACAAAAGGCGAGACTCTAACGTAACTGAAGCCCTGCTGGATAATTTGATCACTAGATATTACACATGTAGTAAGCAGTCAAAGGAAGCATGCAGACTGCAAACAATTATTACAGACTCCACTACACAGACTATACAACAAATGTTATGCAATTATACAATGCATTCTCCCCAAACAAAATATTCATTATGATGATTTACTTACAAGTATAAGGCCGATGCATTTCAACATTGAATATTGTATTGTATTGTATTGTATTAATGTTTTCATTTATGTAGTCAGCAAATCCTTCTTGTGCACAGTTTTTGTGTGTGGACATTGTTTAACAATTTCTTTAACGCATTTATTATATAACAGATATTGGTAATCTGTGGCTATCCGTGGGAGAAGGAAGGGGTTCATCAGTTGACGGGTTAAATATTAAGTTGAGAGTTTTTGAGATCAATAACACTGCAATTGCTAACAAAATTTCTGCCTCAGTTTTGTTCATACAGACCATTATATAATTTGTTTTTCAACATTTTCTTCCTTCCTTACGTCTTCTCAATTTTTTTTGTACAGGAATACAAGTTATAATTTGATTGTAAACAGAGATGTAGTCAGTTCCTGGTTCATACTGCATGTATGAACTCATGAATAATTAAAATTTACTACTAAATCTTAACAGAATGTACTTCTACTTTTTTGTCACACTATCTGTAAAGGACATTTCATTCCACCATGAGTTGCCCTGTATGTGTATGGCAACCTCTTGCTGTAGAAATCTCCACAGGCAATTGAAAATTTGTCCATTCACCCCTGTGTCTTGTATGTATGCAACCATGAGTGTATCGTTATATTAGTACAAAATTTAACATTTATCAATGTAAAACAATATTCAAAAGTAAAAAAAAAAATGTCCCCTTCTTTATTTTGTGACATTTCACCTCACAAGGATGAGGAAAATGCATGATTGGCATTCTGCCTTGAAGAACTTCTGACACAATGCACTTAGTGTCAAAATTAAAAAATAAATACTTTTTATGTTTGTTTACTGTCAAATAAGATGATTTAGGTTGCATTCATTTTATTTTACTTTCTGATTTTGATAACAGACTAATACAATTTTCAAGATAGGCCAGTTTTCAGATCAGTATTCCAAGTGCTGACGTTTTTATTTGCTGTCTTGAACCAGTCTTGTTTGCAGTACGAAATCTGATTAGTCATGAAGTGGGTTATAGCATTGTATTAAAAAAAATGTCTGGTTTCAGATCAGTAATCACAAGTACCGACATATTTATTCGTCTGGAACCAGATTTGTGATTAGTTGTGAAGTGGGTTACCAAGACTTGAGGATGCTGTAAATTAGAGTTGAATGTCTCTACGTAATGGCCAATGTATGTGATGAACTTCTGTAAATGTAGATATGTCAATTCTATGTTCAAGTAAGGATAAACAACTCAAATACCCTTCTAACTTTAGAACAGATTTAAAAGATGTTTTGGAGTCTTGAGTTTATCTTGTTATCAATTATATTGACAACATTGTTAGAACTCAGAGGAAATTGTTGTTTTTCCTCCTCCAGATACCTCATCCAGCTGTGTATTTAAATTTAATGATTTTAAACAGATGAGCATAGATTGGAAATCTCATCAGCAGAAACAAATCTTAATGCATATTGAAATTTATCGATTTCTTTGAGAAAAAGCAGCATTACTTGCATAGTAAATACCAAGGCAATGGTTCTTGTACTGTAAGTCTTTGCTAAGCAACTCTGCATTAGGGAATTTAAATATTGATTGTGTTCAACTTGCTGAATAATCATATACATTGTGATACGTATACAAATAACATATCTATAGAGCTCAAAATGGAAATTACTCTACAAGAATTATCCCAAAGCATAAAAACAAAATATAGTTCGTAGGAATACCCCAGACCTGATAAAGATAGAGATTTATAAGCACAGCAACAGGTCAAGTCCTTTTTTTGCCAGTGTCTTGTGTATTAACACCATAATCTGCATAAAGCAAAGTCATGTTCTTACCTGGTATAGCAATAAGCAATCTAATCACAAAGCTTCAGCAATTTGCAAGGACTTTCATGAAACTATTGATCAACCGTAATTTGAGCACCAAAGTTAACTGTCTCTTTTTCCAAAATATAACTCATAATTTGTTTATATATTACATGATTATGACATTAACATACATAAAACTGCACTAATGATTAGCAGAAAAAAAAGATGGTGTTTGAATGATCAACTTTTTAATACCATGACTTGTAAAGCCATGTGTCGAACACTATCCAAACCAAGTAATATGTGGCATGACGCTGCTTGTGTGGTCCACTAAGTCGCCGTGCGCCATCAACGACAAATGCAATTGTGTTAGTTTTGGTCACTAGAGGGCGTATAACCAGGTGGCATCTTTCGGGTTTTGCATGCGTACTATATTTACATTTGAAATATAGTACAGTGTTAGTTTTACTGCGTATGTTGTACCTACAAATTAACTTGTATATGAATAGTTCAAACCCAGTTTGCCGAGTAGCAATCACCTTGATTGAATTGGTATTTCACCTACCATAGTTACATCACGGCTGACAACATTTCTATCATTAATACAATTATTTTAAATATTTAGATTTAGCACATACAATGGGACAAAACGTATAAAGGCTTTCTATTGAATCGACCATTAATCGACCTCAAACGTGGTTCAATACTAGAAGTATACTGTGTATTAACGTCTAAGTACACGCCAAAGCGCCCGTGTTCAAGTTAGAGATGTTGGCATTGAACAGCTTTCGGTGCTGTATTTTATTCTATTCAGTATCTTCGTGGATGATGATATTGGGGACCATTGTATGTTCGGGTGTTTATTTAGGCTTCTTGAAAATACTACCGTATATCTACACAGATGTAGTTTTCAATAAGTATTACACCGTAAGCTAAGTATTTCGTTATTACTGTAAATTGAAAATCACGGCTAACTTGAATATATCAAAAATTGTAGTTTTTGTAGACGTGGCAGACTAAACGAATACTAAAAATGGGTTTATAATAGTGAGCCAGTAATTGTGACCTTGTTCCAGAGTTATTGGGGAATAGTATTTTCGAGCACAGGCTCTTGGTTCTAGACACACACAAAAAACATTGAACGAACAAGTCGACACAGCCCTCTATAGTCAGAAGTGGTGTCTCACTGAATTTGACACCTTGCTTGTCAATATTCTAGTAATGTAAAATCACATCTGTCCAGTCTTACTTTGTGGTTTTAATGTTTTGAGTACTGACAAGTAGGAGACATTGAAACAGTAAGCGCATAACAAGATGTTACGTTTCACCTTCCAACTTCATAAATAATACACCTTCATTGACAAGAGAGGAGAACTTGATAGAGTGTCGCTAAAAGTACTTGTATATTGTAAAATAATCCAAATCTGATTACGGTTTTTGGAAAATGAATAATAATAGATTACAAATGATATGAGTTTCTTTGAAACTTTATTATATTTACAATAATAGAAAACACGTCCTCTGAAACACGTTTAGTAGTTTAGAATTTCTGTGCATTTTGTGTGGTTTTTCCTTAATATATATATGTGGTCTTTATTTACAAGTTCAATGCCATCGGCCCATAAAGTATACGCATAAATATTCTTAAATTACAAATAATCAGCAATATCGCTCCTAAGTTTCAATGTGTGATAAGCATAGGCTGCCAAACTTTTAATTATATTGGTTTCTTGTGAAGTTAATAAATCTACAAATTTATGAAAAGATGGAGGGTTGAAATAGTATTTTGGAAGATACAATTGACGAAATTCAGAATAAAATGGGCATACTAAAATAAGTGGTATTCGTTTTCAATTTGATTTGCATCACAGACTTTACAAAGCCGATGGTCTCTCTCAAGAGTTCCCCTGTCAATTTCGATGCGCAGGCTATGCAAAGAGCAACGAAAACGTGCTAAGGTTTTTCTGTGGACGTTTATAGTGACCGAAGTAAGATATTTTTCTCGCTGTAACGCTGTTTTAAATTCGCGATATGTCACGAGTTTCTCAAACGTGCATATGTCACTTAGCCAGTTATGCTGCAAGTAACATTTAAATCTAACAGTAAATGTTTCCATAAACGTGCTTGTATTGTTAACTTCCTGACTGTACCAACAAATTTGCATATTACAAATAAACAACAAATTCTTTATATCAGTGATCCATGTATGCTTATTTCTAACTTCAGACTCTTCTATACTGTAAAGCATAACATAGCATTTACGGGGATATCTATTGTGGGGCATGTTAATTAATTTTGCCCAATATTTTGCACAGCGTTCGTCGGTAAACAGAAAAATGGGATACCTCCCACACTCACCCAATAAACAACTGTTTGGGGATGTTTATGAGACACCAAGGTAATACCTACAAGCAAGAAACTGAATTTTGTTCGAGGCAATCATACTGTCGACACCCCCAAGTTTCAGCACTATATGTTAAAATTGGCAAAATCTTGGAGTCAAAAAGTTTAAAAAATACATCATAATTAAGGGGACCTGTTTTGTCACTTATTTTCATAATGGCAAACATGGCCTTTTTGGCTTGTTGTGCTAAAACCTTTGTTGCTCTCGACCATAGAAGTCTACAAGAGAATACAACCCCAAGATATTTATAGTAGGAAACTGCCTCGATTTCTTCACCTTTATAAAACCATTTTTCATTCTTAGACAAGTGACCACCAGCTTTAAAAACCATAACTTTTGCTTTTCCCTATTCACTTTCATTTTCAACCTGTCACAGTAACTACTTAATATTTTAAGAGATCTTTGCAACCCGATCACCGTATCTGAAAACATTGCTACATCATCTGCAAATAATAAGCAGAAAAGTTCGACAGGGTCGGGGGATAGCTGTAAGCTATGATCATTGATCATGCGGCGTTGCTGCAATTCAAAAGTTCTTTTGTGAAAATAAAAATAAAAAATGACTTAGCATGCAACCTTGCCGAGACGCCTACAGGACAGTAAAAATATTCGTTTTTTCCATTTGGGGTGCGGACACAAGATTTCACGTTTGAATATATGCTGCACACTATTTTAAACCCGTTTATATCCCATTTAACAGAATACTAGTATAAAAATACCACAACCTTTGTCTATCAATAGTGTCAAAAGCCTTCGAAAAATCGACGAACGCACAATAAAATTTTCCCCGTTTTCTGGTAATGTACTTTTTTTTGAATAATTGCCTGCATAATAAAAATGGTATCAAACGTTGAGTAACCCTTCCCGAATCCCGCCTGTGCTTCGTCGATCTTTCCAAGTGCTTCTGCCCAAAAATACAGCCGTCTATTTAGTACGAAGTAAAAATTTTACCAAATATACTGAGCAAGAGAATTGGAATGATGACAATTGCTCTTGACCAGACGTTTTCAAATTCAAATATTTGGTTTAAAATGATGTTTAAAAATGGGGCCAAGGTAGGAAAAGAGTTTTTAAAGAATTCGCCAATCAGCTCGTCGGGGCCTGCAGATCTACCATTTTTAATACTAGCAATGATATGACTAATTTCGTCAGCTGTGATAGGCCCATTTAAGATATCCCAATCAATTTCCAAAGTGCTAGGTTGAAATTCGTCAACTAATTTATTTAAGTAGATCTTGGAACTCGTCTGCAAGAGCAAAGTTATTCTCTGCCTTATCGCCTGCAAAAAGCGTACTAAAGTAGTCATACCATTTAGCTGGTGTGATAGACATATTTGGTTTGCCAGAGAAAGGGTTATTTAGTCGTCTAAATGACGACCAAAACAGATTTGTATCAGCGCATATCAAATTTGACTGGATTTGATCTATATGTTGGCGTTTTTTGTCTCGGCAAACATACTTAAACCTTTTACTCAATAAGTGGTATTCATGTAAATGAGTTGGGTTATTGGTATTACGAAATTTGCGTAACAATCTGTATTTCTCTTTTTTGTATTTGTTTACAATCATTGTCAAACCAAAGTGGTTGTTCTGTATATGTGTTTGAAATTTTCTTTTTCATACCACATTTATCAACTACAGATCGAATCAAGTCTTCAATTATATTAACAGATACACCTGTATCGAGATTTACATTTTCAGAAATCGGGTTTAACCTATTTTGTATTTCCTCGGTATATAATTTGCTCATGAATGAATCAGAACGTGTATGCAGCCATACATACTTAGTTAGTTGACCATTTTGCATACAATTTGCATTAACATAAAATTGTTAATGTACAGACCCATGTACACTAAATACAAGTGGGAGATGATCAGACTCTGTACGGGTCATAATAAAGAAATCAGTGATATCGGTAAATAAAGCCGTCGACACAAGAACATAGTCAACCAGACTTGCCCCGTTGCTTGAGATTCATGTAAAGTCACTAACACCTGCATCGCTGCCTACTCTACTATTCAACATATGCAAATTGTGTGAGCAGCAATGAGATAACAAAGTACGACCAAAATTGTTAGAAATGTTATCTTTTGTTGCACTTGGAATGTTGAAAGTGTTTTTTCCTTAAAAAATCCTGCAACACTAAACAATCTTGGGAAACTTATTTTCTTTCCCATGAAATTAAGATCTGAAATTCTTTGTCTCAAGGCCTACATTATGTAAATTATAATGCTCTGTAATTTCTAAGTTATTTATTCATTTATTTCTCTAGTGATCTGATTTGCACAGACCACATGTCTTGTACATTTCGGCCGCTGGCCTTTAATACTAAATAAATTACATTATACTGCCAATACAATGATAACACCTGTCTTCAGTATACATGTACCTGAGTATTTGATAAATTACCTGCGTTTCGTATCTATTCAAATATGTAAATTATCGTTGGGACCATATCGTACTCTGATTGGTTACTGACTAAGTAGTCAGGTGCTTATAGGTAGAGTGTTCTATTGTATTCAGTCTCGGTTGCAAACAACTCGCGATGTATTTTTTGTTGTTGGTATTAAAGATGGAATAGTACGAGTAATAGTCGCGTATACCGCATTTAATGTTGGTTGTGTAATTTGTTTGAATAACTGAAGTTGAGTAGAGATTAATAATACTAGTGACGAGGACGAATATATATATTTATTTACATACGTATAAAATGTGGCATGCGATGGGTGATTATACCATTAACCTAAAGCTTATCCTATTGCCACTCCAGCATGCATAATGATATATCCCTTAGCCACCTCGGCATAAATATTGGTCTCTCCTTTAGCCATCCAGCATACATAATGGTACTAGTATATTCCTTAGCCATTCCAGTATACACAATGGTATATTCCTTAGCCACCCAGGCATAAATATTGGTCTATCCCTTAGCCACCCCGGCATACATAATGGTCTATCCCTTAGCCACCCCGGCATACATAATGGTGTATATCTTAGTCACCGCAGCATATATAATGGTCTATCCCTTAGCCACCCCGGCATACATAATGGTCTATCCCTTAGCCACCCCGGCATAAATATATAGGTCTATCCCTTAGCCACCCCGGCATACATAATGGTCTATCCCTTAGCCACCCCGGCATACATAATGGTGTATATCTTAGTCACCGCAGCATATATAACGGTCTATCCCTTAGCCACCCCGGTATGCATAATGATATATCCCTTAGCCACCTCGGCATAAATATATAGGTCTATCCCTTAGCCGTTCCACCATACATAATGGTGTATCTCTTAGTCACCCCAACATACATATTGGTCTATCCTTCAGCCACCCGGCATACATATTGGTCTATCCTTCAGCCACCTCAGCATACGTAATGGTACTAGTATAGTCCTTAGCCATTCCAGCATACACAGTGGTATATCCCTTAGCCATCCCAGTATATATAATACCAGAAATACCAAAGTCGTGAAAACCAAAACCATATTTTCATTTTCGTTTCATCTTTCCAATTGTTGTCAATCGATATTAGTCTCATATCGAACGGGACGCGACGCGACGACCACTGCCCTTTAAAGCGCGGTGGTCGTCGCGCAGCGCGTGTTCGAATTTCATGTAAACAATGTATTTTACACGCGTTGTGTATGTCGTTATGAGTCCCATATCGAACAGAACGCGACACGACGACTGCCGCCCTTTAACATCACATCGTGGTCATTGTAAAACACATTTCAAATCTGTTTTATTGTTACACAAACAATTACACTTTTCACTACCATCACCACGTGCATCAGCAATACAAAATGTAAATATTGTCCTTTACGCCTGGTGTCTCGGATATCCGCATTCGACCAAATATAGGTCGAGAACTCCTCTCAAACCATACAAAGGGAAAGCCAATTTTGTATGTCGTCCATTTCGTTTATAGAACATAACGCCCGTCGCCTCGCGGAGTCAGTCATAGCACGACCGGGATTATAATCGCTTTTCCGATGCAGTTCATGCTACATCAGCGCACAATTACATCATACATTCGTCGAGTATATTTACACTACCACGTGCAAATCCGATGTTCAGTGTCTCAACTAGGTCATAGCTGGTTAGTGTTCCAATGCGGATATATATTGTCAGACACCGTGCACTTTCTGGTCTTGTAAAGAACCATGTTCAATAATGACGTCAAGACGAGTGATTGAACCTCTACGCGGGACATCGGACCAATAGGAATCATTCACTGGACTTTCGTATGTATCGTGCAATCGACACGGAAATCCTGCAATTAATATTCAAATATCAGTAGAAGATAGCAGAAGACAGTGCAGTTTGAAATATTTGTGAGAAATTTTACAAGCACAACATTTATGACCGAAAGCCGCCTTCAGCAAGTCTGATAAATGTCAGAACAACAGACTTGCTCACTAATTTACTGAAAACTTTGGTTTAAGTTCTTAGACTAGGAGAACCGTCAGTATATATCGTCTTCATCATCACTGTCACTGACAAGCAGTCTTGATTGACTTTATTTTATCTTCTTTCTTTCCTATTTGGGAATGTCAAAGACAACCAGTTACAAGAATCACCACTATATTCATCTCTTAAGCTCGTCTAAATACGTGACACTTGACTTTTTTAAGCAGAGTTAACTCTTGTGATAACTTCAATATATTTGTGCATAGTGTTGGTGTTCAGGAGTCTCAATCTGGGTGTGGTACAGAGTAATATTTTGACAGAGTGGGATTTTATATAGGATTTATTATTATAAAAATATTCTACTAATACTCGTTTTGTTCCACTATTTCTTTCGTATAAATTCATGGCCTCTGTACACACGTATATATTTTCACTTGGTCCTTATTCAGCCTCTTTTCTATAACCCCCACCCCCCGCAATAGTATAAATTTCTAACGACCCCACTCTAGATCCCTCCAACGTCACATTCGATGATAATGAATGGTCATTTAAACAATAGTCTTCTAGATTTGGTAGTGCTGACAAGTGGTCACGCCGCTTATTATTCAATTCATATTGTAGCAAGTGTCATGATTTATATTTTCATGTATTTCGGTGAGGCCGTTTTTTGCAGTTATGAGCGACTTTCACTGATGACCCCTGGATGATCCACACCTGCTCGTAACTTGTCATGATCAGGTCCATTCGTATGTTAGGGAATTAGTGATTGGAACAACTGGCTGATATAATGGTCGACTATGGAAGTTGGTTAAGTCAACAAGGCACCGATAAGTATGAGAGTTATGTCCCGACATCGGGGGCAATTAATCTGACATTATGGCTGTTGAGTACTTTGCGTGATTGATATGTGTGAAGGCCACGCCTTAGAGTCTTTTAACTTCTCTGTAATTGGTTAACAGTTGGAATGTGAATAAAACCGATCTCAGTTAGTTGTGGCAAGCTCTCGACAAGGAGGCGGCCGTGGGAGAGTAACAACGCGGCTGAGACCAAATGTGACACGATTCGATTCTCTGTGTGTCTTTCTTTGTTCGATAGAAAGGTGGAGAATTCCCCGAACTTAGTACCTCTGACGTGAAGGTTAATAACACTCATTTAATTTTTCATACAGGACTGGACACGTGTAGTACTCAGTCCCAATTACAATGTATAACAGATAATTGAAAGCATTTCGTATATATATATCATATCGTTGTGTCTCCGTTCAAAATGAAACTGAGTTGCCGGGACATAACTTTGAAGGATACAACATCGACATTAACATTATCTCTGTCATTAATGTAATAAAATAAGTTTATGAACTTTTACAGTAATGATTAATATGGCATAATATAAAAAAAACTAAATTGTAGTTTAAGATTGGTTTAAAATAGTTTATAAAGCGTACATACCTGTTGTGGTAAGTACCGGTCTTTGGGCAAGTCGTTGTTTTCTAGCTGCCTGTTTGTCACGGATAATCTGCCCAATGCCATAGCGCATGCAAGTATACGTTACAAGAATCACAATGACCGCAGCCAATCCAATCGAGATACCGACAGTAGTTGGTAATGAGACTTCAGTCGTGCCATCTGTAAAGAATGTTAATATGAGAAGATACGTTATAGTACGCACAATTGTGCGAGCGATAAATATAATAATAATAACTTTGTAACTCCACAATTACCATCTGTGGGTAATGTATAGTAAGCAAAATACTACAATAAAGAAAAATACAATAATAATACTATAAAGAAAAGATTACAAAAAATAGTACACTGGTGAAAAATCAAATGTTTGTAAACTTTACTTTTTGTATATTGTTTATTGAAGGTATTTAACTATAGGAAAACTGTTGTTGCATATGTTTATAACAATTGTATATTCTATTCTGTTTATATTTATTATGTTACATTCTATAAACAGCAATTTTCTTCTACTTATTGTTATAGAGTATTCTTAATTTTACGTTTACCACGAAAGAACGAAATGTATTGCAGAAAACGCATAATAATAATGCATTTTACAGCCTCCACTGGCCCGGCGGTAGTTTGCGATAGAGCACCACACGCCAAGCATCATAGTGCAAATGTCTGACAAATCGAACCATGGGATTGTTCGATGCGACCTCAGCATCTATAACTTATTCTCTCTTGCAATTTTTCTTCAAAAACCTTGTGTTTCTTTGCCATTTATTTAAGCATTAACGCTCACAGTCGTACAATCTGATATTATATGACGCCATTTTATGTAACTGTCAAGACAATTCAATGAAAATTAAATAGCGCTTGTTTCCGTTAATGAAATTGGTTATTAAATTTCACCGGCACGTATACTTGACGAAATTACATAGGTCAATTGACAATGCTTCAAAGCTGGCCACGCTCACATCGTCTGATTACAATGGTTAGAATTATGACACTGACCGACTTACCACTATGATACTGACACTTGTCTCCGAAATATTCACCGCCGTAACAAACACATATTCCGGAGTCTGCGATGCACTCACCACCGTGCATACACCCGCCATCAAAACGACAATCGAAAAACAAATTACGACCTCGTTCTACAAGTAACAAAAACAACTATTAACTAATGTTTCAATTAAGATACTGTATACGCCGCAATCCCAATACAACAATCAGAATTTGTTATTAGAATATAATATAATATAATACAATACACGTCAACGAAATTAATGTTCTCGTTCAAATAATTAATTCGACATGTAACAGGTTGCAGGAGAACATCAATGAAATTGATTTTAAATTCTGTAATTTATTTATTTAATCTGTATTTATACCAATAAATAACTTTTTAAAACTATTGTCTACAGTCAGCTTACTTTCTTTGAAGTATAGAATTTTGATGGTATTGATATTCAAATCATGATGTCGCACATAAGCTGCTTTCAGGTGTAAGTTGAACATATATTCAGGAACGTTTTGGTGTCATACCATGCGGTATAAAGAAAAGCAGTTCTGAGATAACTGATGGTGGATCAGGTGCTTTTCACTTTGGAGATCATGGGAACAATGAACTCAATTTACAAAATATGCATCTGACAACACAAATCTTCCAAGAAATCATAGCGATTGGGACGATCACTTCGTAAAGTACATTCACTTAGGTGACTACTCCATAACTTTTCCATATGTTACACTTCGGGTTACTATATTTATAATGATGCGAATTTTTTTTTTAAAATCAGCCATGGACGATTTCGTGTACTATGTACATTGCATTAAAGCGGAAGGGTCGTCACCTGCGCACGCACGGGAATTGAGTACTGAGCGACGATAACAACACATGCTAAGAGCGCAAAGGCTCATTGGTATACGCTTGTTTGTAAACAATATAATGACACGCTATGGACACCTGACGCATGCGTGGGTGACAACTGTCCACTAGTACTAGCGTACTAGTATATAGCTTGCAGATGACTAGGCATATGTGAATATTGTGCTTGCTGACCCAAGGTTATAAATGTCCAGCAAGATGCGGGTACTATGAATAGAATATTGTGTGTTTTATTGATTTTATTGATATTTGACTCATTTGTAACTCCCTGTGCATTTTAATAAAATACTATGGTGACATAATTATATTTGTATTTAGTGAATACTCAATATTTCGTCTCATGAGATAAACATGGTAATGGCACACACTTGTTAACGCAGACGACAGTCTTTTAATTAGTGAAATCTTTGACATGTAAAAATAACTTTCCTTATTCAGGTTCAAAAGTCTGAATTTATTCAACTGTTATAAAAGTTCACACTGTAAACCAACATTCAAGCTATTGGATAACAAATATCTGGATCACTATCATTTGTTCAGTAATTTTGTAGTATCATATAATATAATATAAAATATTTAAAGGTACATCTTTACGCCTTACCATATTCACAGTGTTTACCATAAAACTTCGTATTACACTGACACATCATATTGTTGTCTGGAAACTCTATACAATGTCCACCATTCGTACAACCACCACACATATCACCAGTTACTATAAATACAAACACATATATCGAATATCAATGCAAACATAAATGTATACTACTTGACGCCAATCCATATATTATCATATCAAATGAATGATATAACATATTTAAAAATCAATTATTCCAAACATATTGTCAGCTACACATACATATTTCTAGTTTACTGCACAGTGTTGTTGAAAAGTATATGTATCTTGAGACATTAAATAAACACAGGTGTTCTGACAGAACATTTTTTTGCGAACTTGACAATAGTTGAATTCACAAAACAAGACCGAGTTCTCAAATCATTGTAAATGGAACATACCACATTAAGTGAAATTTATCTACGATTTTATTCAAATCAAATTCAAAGTTTATGGGCTAATATTTGAAATTTTCATAATATGTTTTTAGATACAGTTTGTCTTTTACTGATTAATTTCGACTGATATCAAGTTGAATCTCAATTTTTCAAAAAGTATCCAGTCTAGGAAACAGTTGTATGTTTGCTTCCTATTCCTGAATTAGAACTAGTAATGTCAGTTTCTCCAACTATTTGAGAGGAAGCGTATTAGCTTACAGTGATTGTGCCGTTTTAGATAGACGTCTATGATATTGTCACGGCGACCAAATAAATTTACATTTTGCTATTTCAATTGTTCGCCAATTTCCATCTTCTTTCGTCATTACTTGGCCTCTGTATACATGGCTCCATTCGTTACGTAGTCTCGCATAACAATTGAAGCAGGCTCACATTTCAATGTGATTTTCTCCCAAATGAGATTATAATTCGAGATATTCAAAAAATAGCACGCGTTCACTATTAATTTGAATTAAGATTCATCAATACAGATTCACGAACGTGGGTGGTTTTAAAGTGGACGCACAGGAATGTTCACGTGAAAACACGTTCTATCGCCCATGTGTTAGCAAAGGGAAAACTATCGTATCTTTACAAATATAACTGTATCTAAATATAGTCTCCGACACATTGTTTCAAAACAATTCACAGACATTTTTGAAATAAATATCTTATTTTACTTGTCCTCATATGACCTCGCATATGTCCTTGTATAGCAAAAAGCTATCTATTTTCAAAATATAAACAACAATCGAAAGATATTCACGAAACTACTGTACAGTATCTGATATATATTCACTTGTCAGCTAATCATCATTTTATGGTGCACATTTAACAACCAATCAAACCTACCGCACTGAGCTCATCAAGTATATATTGCATCGCATAAATTATATATACAGTCAAAAAAGCTATCTATTTTCAAAATATAAACAACAATCGAAAGATATTCACGAAACTACTGTACAGTATCTGATATATATTCACTTGTCAGCTAATCATCATTTTATGGTGCACATTTAACAACCAATCAAACCTACCGCACTGAGCTCATCAAGTATATATTACATCGCATAAATTATATATACTAGATTCAATTGTTTCGTGATGTATTATTACAGACTTGAATAACCTAAACATCTGGAGTTTTAATACACGAACACGTATGTCACACACGTACGCTAGTATTTCTTCTGGTGTATTACTGCTGTGTTCAACAGAAAGGCATTTGATTAAGTGCAATGCAGTCAATCTCGCATGCCGGACTTATTGAAAACACGAAGCTCAGACTACTGAGAATCTAATCACGGCGGATCTACAGCGATCTTGATTTTCTATTGCATGTAAGCCATATAAGCCGTGTGTACGAATTGTATTTTGTAGTTACTGTGACGTGTGACGCTAACTAAAAATCTTATCTCTGTGTATGTATGCCTGTACTGTCTCCATATAGTTTCAAGTACTTGCACACTGCCCCCCTTCAATATGGTTCTGTGACAGGTACACATGTATAAATAACAAACATATATTGCAAACATATATACACCCGCAAGACGTATTAATGGTCGATTTGGTTGGAAACATAATATGTATTACGAACACGTACAAAACAATTGGTAAGTCTATTGCCCTATTCATTACATTATCTATGTATTACGTTGTTACAAAGGTCATGTTTGCCAGTAGCATTCTATTATTTGATTGCTGCGTGTTTTTGACTTTACAGATTATGGCGACTGTGTGTGATGATGTTTCTCCTTTAGTTCGTTTTTCATCGGAAATTTGCTGGACGATACAGGGGATAATCTAGTATTTTGGGTACCACGAGAACCACATGCATCGCCATCGTTCAGTGGTATGGATTTCCGATTTCCAAAAGAAACAATGCAATAGACTATTAAATTGATACGCACTGCACCCCATGTGTGGAAGCTGATGTTCTATAATCGGCATATGTGCAAAGGATATTTAGATTATATGCAGATGCTTAATAATAATGACAATTTTGCAGCTGGTACCGAAAAACATATAGATATGATATAAACATTATTTACATTATTATTCTGCTTTTTGTTTCATTTTGTAATTTATTCAAATCACTAAACGTGCTGTGACATTAGACATATATAACAAAATAATTCCTTTGTATATTGAACAGTAAAATGTCATGGTGTTAATTTCCTAAATAGACTTTAGTATGAATTTAATAACTTATCACTCGAAGTAAGCACTGCATGAAATGGCGTATTTAGAAATAGTTTTTTTGTTGAAGCAACAAGCAGTAAAATATTAAATATATTGTCACGTCTACACAGCTGTGATAATCGCTACATTTACATTAAGACTGATAAATTGTGCAGCTGTGAACCGCAGCATCACGCAGTATTTTACAGGACATCTTTTGGGGAATATGTAGTCCAATGTCTCATTCATAAAGGCCCCACATGTTTCCCCAAATCACAGTTAAATCTTTTCTCCAAATTGGCAATGTGCGGGTATGAAATGACGAACTCACTGAATACATTGAACAAGTCAGGCGAGTCAGGCAAAGAAATTTAAATGATTAAAGGTCATGTGACACTATATACATATATAGAGGCTTGGAATGAATATATCATGTTGAAATTAAATACATCGATGGCAGAACATTATCGTCATCCTCATTACAAAATCGTCATCGAATATTCGGATTATGTAAGACTACACAATTAAGATTTTAAATATATTATAAAATGCATGTTGTTATGTATAGTAGAATAATATCAAACAATCTGAAAAAAATATATAAAAATGTGCGTATGTCGTGTGAATTCACGAGTGATTTCAATATAATTTTAACTCTTTACCACTAACATCAGACATATACTCACCGGTGATATCGGCGATAGCTGTAGATAACACGCATATGAATTCTGCAACAAATAGAGGATAACTCATGGCCAACTCGGAACTGCTGAAAATAATGGGAAACAGAGTATGTCACTACGTGCACATCACCGACAATATGCTGAATAACTCGACGGTATATCGATTCAATACGCGTAGTTGTCGGTGTCTGGCGGCACGAAGACAATATCCAACGGCATTATTAGTGTGTATTCACCATCGGTTCATTTTGCGCGGTGTGTCTCATCCACGGCAACATATGTTGTTATTAGCGTAAGTCTCGATGGGTAAATATATTAGTACGTTAAATATAGAATGACGCTGATTAATGCTGAGGGTTGGTCATGATGAAGGGGGTATCGGAGACTCAACTCACGTACACTTACTTAATTACGGAAATTCAATATACATTAATGCTATTATATCTATACCACGATACGCAACATTTTCTGGCTGCTATAATACTACAGCACAGCATTAATTCGCTTACAATATGAGCCAGTTAGAAATTGTGTTGGATATAATACTAGTTTCTACATCACCGACAACAAAGACGTCGCTAAATATACAACTCATCGCCGATCGTAGCTGCATCACGATTCCAACAGTAAACTATAATAGCTGGCTAGCAAGTTAATTAAAATTCTCGACATAACAGTGCTTGTGATCTCTATCAGCGATATTGGAAAATAATGCACCGAGTTTGTTCGACAGTGAGATCGAATTCTACTCATCTCATGTTATCAGAACATTTCCGTCACTGTGTATGCCGTTGCAAAACAACTCTTGTTTAGAATGCAGTGGTTTGACGTCATGTCAAATGAATATAACTTTCACTGTTTTTTCGTCACACGATAAATTGGGAACGGACCAGTAACACAGTATTGGGTTAAACCCGTAGCCATATATGAATATACATTACTGCAAATACACATTGGAAACCACACATACGTGTTATAGAATACACATATACTGTATATATGTATTAAATTGAAATGTATCTTTCAATACTCAACGTCCACCTTTTCAGGCGGTGTGAGTTACATCCAAACATACAGATAGTATGCAACTTTAGTATGAGAACTACTTAAAATTCGGTTAAAAAGTTGGACTTTAAAATGTTATAATCTCGTGTTTATATGCATTACCGTTACTAGAACTGAGAATGTGCCAGTTGTCGGGATTATCATGATACGACATTATATAGAAATATAGAATAATATAACAAATAGTATGTCACGACTACAATTAATCATCACTAGTGTCCAATCACTGACCAATCCCGTTACAGTAGTGAAAGCCTGGATACATTGGAATTTGGAGTTTGAAAAATCTGAAATTATCAATGAATATATTCAAACCTACTTAATATATATTAAATATTGAGAAACTATTCACGTAGAACAAATATAACACGACTATTTTCCAATTAAGTATAGATTAGTATACATGCTCAATTATTCTGATGCACATACAAGATAACGAAATTTAGTGAAAAAGTGGATTTAATACATATTAAACAATTCAGGCGCGGCGGCATATCACGTAACTAACAGAGCAATATATGCATTATCAATGCTCGTTTGATTTGAGATGACGATAAACGAGGCATGACGTAAAAGTTAGATTGCGCTGCAACATTCCAATATACTTGAGTGTACATTGAATATTCATAGGTTACAAAGGTCACAGTGGACGTGATAAGACAAGAATAACTTCAACTCTGAACGCGGTCAGATAACAATGTGATTTTACCGATCGTATACATATATTCGGGCACATGCATAAATTAATTGCAAGCAAATGAATATTTAGTATGCGTGTTTCACTATAGTATTATACAATGTGAATATTCGTGTTAAACAGATCGACGAACTCTACAATATGGGTGTGCATGGGAGTTGATTATGGTCGAAATAAAGTTTGACAACTGAGAATTTCAAAACGAAAATTGTTTTATTTCCAAGAGTTAAATTGAAGAAAGCTATCACTCAGAATACAATTGGCCCAACGATGAAAATGTGTATGTATGTGTGTGTTCATGTGTGGGGAACTGAAACTGGAGTAGACGTACCAGGACATCAATTATAACTGACATACTATGATACGTAGAATCACTGACACAGTCTCGAAATTTGTAAACAAATCACGAGATGTGACCTTTAATAACACTGAATATTAGAACAGCTTCTACACAGCGTGGTACATAGTAGACTGCCTCTGTGTCGTACATGTATCTGTATTTAAATGTCTAGACAGGGCAAGCAAGTATAGCACGGTACAAAAGGAAATCAATTAGCGTATTATAGCTCGGGTCATGATAAACTCCCAAAATATATTGACCCACTCTATGGGCGAGTGTGCCACAGACCAAGAAACTGAATAGTAAAAGTCGAAGCTGGGAGTCAAAACCACGGGCCAGTATTCACTAGTCACTAAAGGTTGAGATTTGGAGGCAACATTCTTATGGTTTGTTGGTACTTGTCACGGTGTTCAACCGGACCTAGATGCATCCCAATTCCACAATGCCATTATAATTGGACTATCGCTTCACAACCCTGTCACGTACTCCCGAAAATGGGACATGGATCCTGTGACAAAATACACTGTATGTGTGGTCCTCGCTAAAAATACAGAAACAGTGGCATACAACACCTTGCGCAAAAAATAGTTGACACACAACATTTTGCATAATTATATTAAATATTGGAGCATCTTCAAAAATATATATGAAATAAACGGTTATTTTATAAACCGTACGGTGATAGTTTACAACCAATTCATATCAGCGTGGTACATACATGTATACACAATCACAGTATTAAATTTGTTTTATGAATATAGCGCAAACTTTCTAGCAAAACATAATAAGGTAGTTTTTCACCTATTAAAGTTGAATGAATTATTTTGTTTCAGCACGATCATTACAAATCACAGATTAAATACCCGACCCCTCAAAAGAGTTCATACGAAATCCACCTCACGCGTCAGTGGAGCACGTCTTCAATTGAATAAATGTGATGCAATTACAAATGACTCCCAGTCTCTAGAACAATCACGTCCAGTTGTGTAGTCCTGGGCGAAGCTGTCACTGTCCTAGTTAATGAACTTAGAGTGTCAAAGTATCAGCACCAACCAATGTTACAATCCATATACACTGTAAAATCGAAGACCATTTAGAAGATTGAACCAATTCTCGGCAGCCACTCTAACAGCTGCATGCACTGATAGAACGTCTCGCCTTGACTGCGTCCTTGGTACAAACTACGGGGAACAGCTTATTAAAATTAATGCATTTATCCAAAATACGAACATCTTGGCGTACGTACGTCAAATGTGCAACATATTATCATTACAAGTGACGCAGATAGAATGGTGCGAAACGTGTGCACATGTTTGGATTACATCACATATCAAATAAACCAAAATGGAGGAGAACTAACTACGCCACATTTACATACCCAACGAAACACTGTTAACTTCGGTGGAGGCACAAACCGTACAGAAACGTTTTTTGGTGTAGTAATATTAATAATTTAATAGAGCGGGCTTCATTCATGTGTTATTTTATAGGATACTTAATATATAATTAACTCATGAATACATGTTAAGTATGGCACATTTTACGACATTTTTACGACAGGGCGTGTTGAGTTCAGGATTACATACGCATGGGCATAATGCTTCGGAAAATAAACTGCATAGTTCGCGACACTAGTCAAGTGATTAGTCTTCTACAGTGATAACTAGTTTTTTTTAATAAATCACGAAAAATATCAGCTTCACATTTGATAATAAATCACACATATTATCGGGAAATGTACAATGGGGTATGATGTTATCTTAACAGGAAAATCATTAGCCACACGATCAAGCCAAATGGCAAACCTATCTCCATGGAAACACGATATTGAACGTGTCATTGTAGGAAAATTAATTAAACTTTTGGGGTGAATAATAATTTATTACTAGCATTCATCTATATGGTTGACAATGTACTCAGTTTTCGATTAGAGTACACAGCTAGTAGACCGAGAATATCACTCTATTGGATGGCCAACATAAACAGAAACTTCAATTTATGTTAGATAAGAAGAATGTTTAAACTTTATTATCAAATCTGTATAATTATTTCCATACATTGCTTGCTAGGAGTTAGTAACTTGTGTATCACATTGTATGACAAACGAGTCGTCGTAAATAGTCTTAGCAACGAATGTACGAAATGGGAATAGTAATACAAACAACAGTTTTTAAAGGTGAAATAATTCAGATAAGTAACAAACAAATCGTTGGATGTTGAGCACTAGTCGTATTTCAAATGATAATATCATGTTCATGTCAAGGATCGAACACGCAGAGAATGTTAATATGGTTTCGTAAACAAACGTTAGGTCAGTTTCGGGATGGCTCTGATATATATGAACAATTTTAAAATCGAATTCCAACAATCTACTGGTAATGTACGTTAATTACTTGATGGAAGGGTTCGTATGTGTATTCCCATAACAACGATATGCCTGTGACACGTTCTGATGTGTTACAGGGTACTAGAGGTAGGTCACGTAGTTCATATAACACATACGTATGTAATTATCTACCTCTACCCATATGCATGTGTTGGACGTTGACGCTAACACTAACGTATGGTACTGATAATACTATATCATATAAATAAATATAATTACCAAATATATATATACATACATACAAAAATGTTCATGTAAATAACAAAACATGCATGTAATAATAATAAAATACTCACATAGCGCAATTACAAAAACTCAACGCGTGTCACATACTGTTTGAAGGTAACATCAGGTCGGGTAAAGTTACAAACTGTTGACAAGATGTACAGTGTATGACATCAGACCACAACTAACACGATGAATTAATTGTGTCAAGCAAGGAGAGTATAGTCCAAAACCATCGTAATTATTATAATGTCAACAGCAATAGAAGATATATAACGCATACCAGCTCAGTGATGAAAGCTATTTTTAAAACTATGGTGACTTTTACGGGCAATGCTATAGACACTCTCACTCGCATGCTCATGTCGCGAGGTAGAATAGATACCGTGCTATTTATAGATAGAACTCCAACTCGCACTAGTAGAGTGGCGCTGTAACGTACAGTTAAAGAAGGAAGCTGCCACGGCGATTGGTGGCGTGATATCGATTAAGTACACACAGTTACTGCGTGAAGGTTAATGCACACAATAATAATTTAAAAGCGATAGAACAATCAATGCCACTAAATGAAACATTACAACGAGGTATAATATTATAGAGTACCACAACGACGTGAAATAAATAAAAAAATATGATTCAATCAAACTGTAAATAATAATAATAATGTTTTTGACTTCATTTCAATCAAATCGTAAATCCTCTTGGGATGGGAGTATAAATAATAATGTTCACGATATACATGATATTTTACCCTATCATTTTCGCTACAATATTAAAATTTAAATAGTGTAAAAAACTTCATTACAAATACTGTTTTTTTACAACCTAGTTGTTTGAGTTTCACATTGATTGCCTTCTGATGCATGACTTGACTGACTTGAATCGTCCATAAAACCAACTCCGTCATCATTGTCATCTTCTTCAATCTCATCAATTTCATCAATTGTATGTATTAAGATCACGGACGAGTTGTCTGTCTCATGACTCAGAGACCGACCCAGAGTTGGTTGGACGCCCCTTTCATTTTGCGTCTCCACGGAGTCTATGTTCATGAATATGCCACTGGAATCGTTTTCTGCTGTAAGGTTCGATGTCTGACTATTATTTTGTACGATGGCTGCATCATACTCTGGGGGTAAACTAACCAGACTGTCTCCCTGAATAGTGACACCAGATTTGGATTTGTCTTCTGCAACAACGTATCGATAGCTTGGCGGCTTGCTGCCTTGAAGAACAGCCGGGGATGTCGTAATTCCACGCAACCCCCGCCACGATGACGTCCGTGTGGGAATACGTGGCAATGCAATGTCAAAACCTACGATGATGATAAAACAAATTCCATTTGTCAAGAACACTGCTATGTTTCTATTTCCTTTACTTGTATGAAAGGACGTACATGAAGTAATAATACAAATCTAAACTAAAGTATATAAACATGATTCATAATATGTGCATAGTACACGCCAAATAAACAAATATCAAAGTACAACGTATATGAGGTGGATTCCAAACAACTATACAGATGTCGAACACGTGGCTCACGGAAAACTAAAATAAATTGATATCAGCTACATTCGATTTCAAATACATTCCCCCTGCCATAAAACATTTCTCATGGCTGATACATAAGCGTGAATGAGTTAATAGTATAATTCTCAATAAAAAAAGCAAGTCGGCTTACATCCTGTGCTTTCCCGTTGTATGTTTTTGTTTTTCTTCTTAATTTGTCTCTGAATGTTCGACGGTACCCTTAACATCGGTGGACCATCCACTTGTACAGCGTTACGCATTTCTTGTTGTCTAAGTGCGTCCTCTCGTCGTTCTTGTATTCGTTTGACATTGACACAGATCACCAGGAAACACACAGAGGCCATGACGACTGCGGCAAAGACTAAGGACACTATAGTTGATCTTCTTTGCAATTGCGTATCTGTTGGGTCGTTCCATGAGTCTGTAAACATCAAATGTGTTATCATTAACTAAATACCATGTTAATGACTCTTATGCATATTAACAATAAGTTTGTTAACCTGAAGAATATATATGATAATGATAATGAGTATTATGAGTAGACAATATTCTTCCCTTTTAAGACAGATTTAGTGGTATCTGTTTATTTTTAATGGCACTGACGATTTTTTTCAAATTGTGTCGGTGTTGTGACATACTCACAAAATGTCGATGGACAACCAAGGAAGGATTTGGATTTGGAATTATAAGCTTAGAGCAACAACCACTACGCTATCAATGGCTTCAATGACAAAGAAAGTACTGCCAAGAGCATGTATTCACAGTGTCTTAGGGGCAATCTGTTTTAGTATATGTGGTATGAACAGTTTATATCTCCAAATTTATTCTCACCAATAAAAACACATGGAATTATGTTTTGACGATCAGACTTAATCCTGATCTTGTGGTAAATAAAGCATGATGTTTTTAAGCACTGGTCACATTTCCACTTTTTACAAATTCTAATCGGTACAATATTCTGTCATCATGTACAAGTATGATACTGGCTATAGCTTTATAAGTGTGTGAACTGTTCATTGGTTGTCTAGAACATCACACTGTGAACTGTTCATTGGTTGTCTAGAACATCACACTGTGAACTGTGCATTGATTGTATAGAACATCACACTGTGAACTGTGCATTGATTGTATAGAACATCACACTGTGAACTGTGCATTGGTTGTCTAGAACATCACACTGAACTGTGCATTGGTTGTTTAGAACATCACACTGTGAACTGTGCATTGATTGTATAGAACATCACACTGTGAACTGTGCATTGATTGTCTAGAACATCACACTGTGAACTGTACATTGGTTGTATAGAACATCACACTGTGAACTGTGCATTGGTTGTCTAGAACATCACACTGAACTGTGCATTGGTTGTTTAGAACATCACACTGTGAACTGTGCATTGATTGTATAGAACATCACACTGTGAACTGTGCATTGATTGTCAGAACATCACACTGTGAACTGTGCATTGGTTGTCTAGAACATCACACTGAACTGTGCATTGGTTGTCTAGAACATCACACTGTGAACTGTGCATTGGTTGTCTAGAACATCACACTGTGAACTGTGCATTGATTGTCTAGAACATCACACTGAACTGTGCATTGGTTGTCTAGAACATCACACTGTGAACTGTGCATTGGTTGTCTAGAACATCACACTGTGAACTGTGCATTGGTTGTCTAG